CTGAACGGCTCCTACACTGCCCTCATCCAGCCCCGTCCCTCCCACGCTCCAGAACTGTCTGCTGCCGATCCCGCCTCCATTCGAAGTTGACAGGAAATCTCAGATCAACACGTCCGATGTTGAACTTGGTGCAGTGGTGCCCCTTGCGGCCTTTTTATCTTCCCGATGGCAACTCTGCCCTTTGCATTGCAGGGTCAAAGACCTCAGCTCTTCTTTGGCTCCTCTCTTCACCACTCCTCACCCTCGTCTGTCAGCAGATCCTGGTGGTGCTCCCATGGGAGTGTTTCCATGGTCCTAACCACCATGGTCTCTCACCGGGGCTATCGCCTCCAGAGGGCCTGCCGCCTGGCCCTCTGCTCGGACCCCTCTCCCGGCTTCCAGGCTCGCTCTGCAGAACAGCCAGCACTCACAGTGGCCTCTCCGGCCCCAGCCCCTTCATCCTCTGCCTCTCCTCTGGCCGCTGGAGCGTTCTCTGAGCATATCTCCCCTTTTCATGGGCTTTACGCGGCTCCCCCACCCAGAGTGTTCTTGACCCCAGTGGCCTCCTTTTTAGGCCTTTGTGCTCTCCGACCACCCTATTTAAAGTTTCACCTCCTACTCCCTTGGCTCTTTAACCTTATAGTATATGGTTTCCCTATTTGTTGTCTCTCTTCCACCAGAATGTGAGCTTGTACGGACAGGGAGGACTCTTGCGGATGTGTCACCAGTGCCCAGAACAAGGCCTGGCACATCGGGCGCACTCATCAGGTATTTGTTGAGTGGATAGTGAACAGTATGCTGTGAGTTTTGATGGTTATCACACGTAAAATAGCATTTCCTCTGAAATGGATCTCAGAGTGATGGGGTTACCGTTAGCATTTTTCTCTGATTTGGTTGATGAATTTGTAAATGACCGTTCCTTTATGCTAGAGGAAAGGAGCGCCAGTTCTCATCCTTCATTTTGTTTTTCTAGATGTAGACACTGAAGGCTGCCTGTGCAGACAGGCCGGAAGGTGTTTCGTCACAACAATGACGTTCCGTCCTTGGGCTTCAGAGTTAGAGTCCCAAAACCATGTATTTTCTTGATCTTTCTGATGACTTAGATTAGGCTCCTTCATCCGTTTTGTTGAAAGCAGAGAATTGGAACCCACCTGACTTGGAAAATGCTTTGTGCATCAGTCAGCAGAGCCCCTGAGCCTTACAGTTTCACCAAGACCACTTTCCCAAGACCCGTCAGCTGACCGGTAACCGTACCTGCCTCCACTTGGAAGCATCTTGTTTTATCTGAAATTCTCAGGAAGAGTTGAGAACTTTGAGATATTATTGATTTTGTCATATCCTCTCCAATATAAAAATGTAATGCTTTATATTTCCTCAAAAGCTGGAAGCTGCAGATTTAGCTCATTCCGTTAATAAGAAATCTCTATCCAATGCTTTAGTAGGTAGACCCAGTTCACTGTCAGCCCAGTCAGAGGCCAGACTCCCTCTCTCTTGGGAGAAGTCTTACTTCTAAGATGTGCCATCAGGCACCTCACTTCCGAGTTTCATTCCTAGCAGTTAGGTGCGGCTTGGATCCAGTCACCTGGGCAGAAGGTGCCATGCCTGTGGTTTATGGGCTCCCTGTATGCTTGCTTCTCACAGTGATAATGTGTTCTTCTACAGTCGTCTAGGGATTGAAGTCAATAAATGAAGTCTACAATTTTTTTTGTTTTTATTTATTTTTGAGAGCAAGACAGAGGGCAAGCGGGAGAGAAGGAGAGAGGGAGGCACAGAATGTGAAGCAGGCTCCAGGCTCCAAGCTGTCAGCACAGACCCCAACGCGGGGCTCGAACTCCTGAACCGTGTGAGGTTATGACCTGTGCCAAAGTTGGGTGCCTAACCGACTAAGCCACCCAGGCGCCCCGAAGCCACTAAGTGAAATTTTAATCATTGCTGCCATCAGTCTCCATGAGGTGTCTGAATCCAAGATATTCCAATATGAACTGGGATGTCTTATTTATAACACCATACTTAGCCCTTAACAGAACTGGGTGTTGGATAGGGAAAGCACAGCCCTGCTGTGGGGCTCCATTCAGGGGGCCTTCCTGTGACCTTTGTCTCTGGGATGTTTGTGCCTTGGGGCAGTGCATCGTGGTTAAGAGGAGAGCTGAGAAGTCAACCTTCTGCTCCCAGTGGGAACAGCTATGAGAAGGGAGAGGGAAGGCGCAGTTGGTAGGAGTCTGACCTCGTGAGGCTATCAGGCAACCTTCTTTTAGGGAAGAATGTACCTGGACACTGGCCATCTAGAAGTGGATTCTCCTGGAGCTGTTTGTGCCTACACACCCCTTGGCCAGTCTCTCCTCCCAGGAATACCCCTAACCCGGCTGACAGTCAGTGGCATATGGTTCCTTCCTTCTGGAAGGCAGGAGGGAGTGGGCTCCAGGGTAAAACAGGAGGGAAGGATGGTTCCTCTTCTTGTAACCCTGGGGGGTGGGGATAGGCTGGCCCAGTGACAGCTGGATACCAGGAACTTTCCTACTGCGTTTCACTGTTGTACTTGAACGCCCAGTTATCTGAGAAGCAGGAAGTTTCCAGCCGCAGCAGCCGTACACAGTGACGTAGTGAGCCTGTCCCAGGCCTGGATGTGGTGCGCACTGGGTTACGGGCACTGTAAATTAATCCTCTGCCTGCTGGCTCCCGAGTTGCGTGGACCTTTTTCCATCTCCACCCTACAAAGTGCCAGCTTGGGTGCCAGACCCAGGAGGTGGGTCACCAAGAACTCTTCACTGGGGCTTTCGCTGAGAAAATCACAGGAAGTAAGGGATGCTCTTAAGTTTCCTCTCAGTACAGTCTGCTTGCTCCCTAGCTGCTTTCTAAATGGAATTTGGCATTTCTAGGCGAATTCAATAGTAAATAGAGTGGGTCGGGTCCAAAAGCTGTGTGTGTACCTTGGAAGAGGAAATAAAGAGCCCTGGCCCAGAAGCGGGTCGTTCTCCTGAAAGAGATGTAATTCATGAAACAGAATAAAAACTAGAACTCTCTGTTTGTTCTCTATCTTCACTGAGTTCAGAGATGATGTAATTCTAATAATTATTAAATGACAGCCTGACTAGGAAAAGGAGTGTGGTAAAATCCAAACCCCATTAGATCAGATAATAGTTTCTTTGCAACTGGTTGGCAGCATTGTTGAAACTGTGTAATAGTGAAATGGAAGGCCCAGGAGAGAAAAACCACAGTGTGGCCGGATGCAGTGGCTGGAGGAGCGAGAAGAGGTGAGAGCAGGCGCAGCACTGCACCGGACGCTGGTGCCACAGCACTCACGGTGCCGATGCGACAATGGGCCTCGCAGCCACAGAGCCTCTCGCGGCCACGGCTGTGCTCTCATGACCTCACACCTGGGATGCCCCTTGTTTGGAAAGTTCTTCTATCTGGAGGTAAAATTTTTCCCCCAAAAAAAGGCTCCCAAAGACTCTCGGTGCTGATCCGGGTGTGCTGATGAGGGCTAGACACAGCCGTACCAGGTGAGTGGGGAAGCAGAGAATAATCCAGGCCATGTGATGGGCGAGGCCAGCAGTGAGGAAATAAATGCCGCCTCATTCACACAACAAGTGGGCTGCGAAGTATGTGAAACCCTAAGATGCTGTGAGAAAGTAGAGAAAGTCATCCGGGTTGGGCAAGAGCTTCGTAAGCACAGGGCCAAAGACAGACGCAGAAAGACTGGCTTCAGAGTGAGAACTAGTTGAACCACAAAGTCAAAGACAAACAGCAGACTAAGAAACACTGTAACAACCACAAAAGGCAAAGGTTAATCTTCCTAAGAGCTTTTTTATGCTGGTAGTTACAAGATGACTACTTTGGTGATAAAGGGACAGTTAAATTAAAGAACATCAGTCATTCGGTTCTTTAATATCGACCCATGATATGAAATAAATTTGAGCTGCACTGCTTTTCAGGTGAATGTAAAACAGAAATGCGGTCTTTCTCTTCTGTCACACTGGCAAAGAATGAAAATGTAAGGAATCGTAAATGTTGACACAATCTCAGAAAAATGATGTAGTAATGATCTATTTGACACTAACAACTTTGTGTTAAATGTTCATTTTATGTAAACAGCTGAGGGAAGTGGTAAGATGTGGTATTGCTGATTTGTTCACAATGATACATATTTGGGGGGGAGTTGAACTTGCGTATTGAAGATGGGGTTGATTTTATGAAATTGTGAAGCCCAGAGTCCCTGAATTCTCCGGGTGCGGGCTCAGGTTGGAGCGCCCTCTGCCGGCGGCCGCACTGGTAGCGCTTACAGTTCACCTGCCAGCCAGGCTTGCCTGGGGTGGGCGGACTCTGAAGAGGCAGAGCGGCGGCTGGCTCAGTTGGGGCTGTGCTGTGGGGTCCGTGACCCGCTGCCGCCCTGACTCCAGACATCCTCCTGCATGCCCACCAGCGCCTTCTAGCCCCGTTCCAGGAGGCCCGCTCTGTCAGAGGCTGCACCAGGCACACAGCCAGCCAGCTCGCAGGTGTTGACTGTGCACGCTGGCTGGGGCAGGGACTCTGTCCGTGTGGTTCCCTGCCTGTCCCCAGGGCCTGGGGCACCCACTCGGACCTGACACTCTCATGGGGTGGCCAGCAGCAAACAGTGACCCTGCTGCTTACACGGGGTGCTTAGCTGTCATGAGATGTGCTTGAAGGGGGCACGCGGGTGCTGGGATGGGAGTGGGGTGGGGCCGCGGCGAGAGCAGGGCTCCGCGGGCGGGCTGTGGGAGACTGAGGAAGCGGAGCCAGTCCTCCCGGAGGGATGCCGGCGCCTCCCCGTAGCGCCCGTGGTCGGTGAGGAGACGGACAGCAGGCAGGCGTGGGGAGCCGGCTTGGGCTCATCGTCAGGGCAGGGGCAGGATTGGGTGGGGTGATGAAGGAGCCCTGCGGTCCTGTGGTGAAACTCTTCATTCTCTGCACTTACTGTATCCTAACGTAGCGTTTGCTTTCTGTTAACTTTTTTTTTTTTATTTATAAAGGATTTGTTTTGTTTTGTTTTGTGTTTTTGATAGATGAGGGTTACTACCAGGGTGGAAAATTTCAGTTTGAAACTGAAGTTCCTGACGCGTACAACATGGTGGTGAGTAGCCCGCGTTTAAGCCATTGTTTCCCCTTCGCGTGGCTGGGTGGCCGTCCCGGGGCCCGGCACCCCCTCTGCATCAGATCCCCCTAGTCCTGGGACCGAGTACAAAATGCCGATGTTTCTGATTAATGCTATTCGTCAGCAGTAGTGAGAGCCTCAGGAGGGACAGTTATTTCTCAGCAAGTACTTGTGAGTACTGTGTGCCGGGCAGCCTGCACGGGGGCTGCAGCTCTGCCCCGGCTGGAATCTTCCTGGGCGCTGCCTGTGTGGCTTCTGTAAATCTTACCTGCTACACTCTAGCACTGAAGAGGGAGACATTTTACTTAAAACCGTAGTTTTGTTTATGGTATGACACCAAAATCCCCCAAGTGTAGAAAACATGTACTTGACAATTTTAGAAAAGAGGAATGACTTGTAGTTTTAAACTCTAATTTATACCCATAGCTGCATGTTCATCTCTCAAAGACCTACCTCAGGTAATACTTATACCAAGTACTATCACATTCTGTCTTTGCTTTAAAGGAACCTTCCAGTTAGGAAGGTGAGACAAAGTAGAAGATTATCCTAAGGTGATAAAAGCAGTAAGTAGCAGGGGCAGGAAACTAATTTATGGGAGTTAAGAGAAGGAAAGGAGAGGATTACTTTGGGAGAGGGGTCGGACCATTTGGGCTGTTAAGGAGAAATAGATTGGACTTGTCATGACTTGGATTGACCCATAACCAGGGGAGGGTGGTTTAGGTGACGTCGAAATCTATGGAACTGTGTCAACAGGTACAGAGTGAGAACTAGTGGCCTCTATGTGGCGGACTGACCAAGTCAACTTGAAGGAAGAATCAGGGTTGGGAAGTGGTGAGGAGGAGTGAGAAAGTCAGGTTTGAGGGTCATTGGGCACTTTCACTGTGGCCTGAGAAACACGTGACAGTTGGGAACAGCGCCACAGTTTTGTATGTATATCCGTATGTAAACATCCCCTGATGTTCCCCAGCCCTCCAGGCCTGTCAGACAGGAAAGGAAAATCCACTAGTAAAATTAAGCCACTTGTTAACCTGAGGCTGTGGGTCCTGGGGACCCCCTGTGTCCTGGTACTTTACCTGCAGTGACTCCCCGCTGTCTGACAGATGGAATTAGCCTCCCCTGCCCTGGGCCCTCGCCCCACCAGGGGGGTGCACAGTTGAGTGGCTGTCCCACTTTTATGTTTGAAGCCAAACCTTTATCAATGGAATTGGGTCTTTACGGGGCAACTCCATTAAAATTTATTTTTGAATGTAGCTTATGAGGTTGGGGTAGAGTTGGTAATCAAGGGGAAAAAATTAATTTTTCAGCAAAGACACGAAAATATGCATTTCAGGTCTTTGTCTATCCATCCAGCTACCTACTGACTTTCCGTATTTCCCTAACCACAGACTGAGGAGTCTGGCCCCACAGAACGCCGCACTCCCTCAGGTGAGACGCAGCCGGAGAGGCTTGGTTTCCGTACAGATGGTTAGAATTCCAGGGTCTATTTTGATGTTTTCTGGAAACAGCCAGGCATATAGTACTTAAAATTACAGACTTCTTAATTATCTCGACGTCCTCTGTCCCCCAGGATTCCTCATCCAAAGAATGTTCAGTTAAAGGGTGGTTAAGTCGGCGACAGTCCCTCCAGAGAGGCAGTGAGTGTGAGGAGGGGGATGGCTCAGGGAGGGGTTGAGCATGAGCTGGTAGCCGGTGGAACAAGCCTTGTGGAATCAGACCCACCCACTGCACGGGTCCGAGAGCACCACTGAGCACAGAGAGTCCGCGTCGGAAGAGCGCAGAGCGTGAGACGATGCCGAGGAAGGAACCGATTCTTGTTGAGATCTTTCCCACGCCAGGTGCCCTCACTCGCTTGTGTACTCTCTGGGAGGTCCCCAGGGGACGTTAAGTCGCTCACGTTCACACGTTAGGAAGCTGGGGCCCAGAAGGGTACAGTTAGGAACTTCCCTCATCAGCTTGGCCAGAACGAACGGCCCAGCTGCTGAAGCGGATTCCAGTCCGGGGCTGCCCAGCTCCCTGACCGGGGCCCTTCTTGCCAGACCGGTGGCCACTTGTAGTGAGAAGATGTTGGTCATGGTGTCCTATCCCTGCGTGACTTCTTCCAGAAACAGAGAGCGTGGGACATGGAATAAACAAGATAGAAACCCACTGGGCCTCGAGGACATATTATGTTAATTAGTGATTTATGATGATTTTACATTTTTATGTTTAGTTTCTATCTCCTTTGGGAAATTTCTGAATGATTGGCTGCGTTGATTTCATCAGGAATGAAAGCAGTGTCCTCAAGCAAGGGCACGGAGGGGCCTCTCTGGGGGGACCCAGGCCCGGCGGCTGCCAGCACCTCTCCCCACCGCAGCCCTGCGGCCCCTCTGCCTGTTCCCTCTGCTCGTCCAGGCTGAGGCGGCGCAGCGGTCTTCCCGCTAGGCCGAGAACAGGGTGGGGGCAGCGGGGACACTGTCCCCAGGAACTCGTGCTCGACTGGTCCAGAGGTATTGTGCCTGTGGTTTTGTATCAACCTTGCTTAGCCAGCTCCTCGGTGTCTCTTTCCGCCAGACTGGTGGCTCCCGGAAGCAGGTCTGGTGCGGCGTCGTACAGCGCATTTCCACTGCCCACCACATGCGCACTTGTCCCTCGGGGGGCGCGCTGCCCGCCCCAACCTGCGTGCAGAAGAGGAAGCCCACGTGTGGAAATGCGTGGGCTCCCGGCACTTGGGGCGGAGACTGGGAGAGTAAACTGTGGGTGCCCTTGTGACTCATTTGCATGGGGAGCCACCAGCCTGAGAGGGCATCCTGAGCCCCGCGCCCACTTGCTCTTGCGCCTTCGTGTTCTTCTAGGGACTTGTCCACCACCCCTGACACTGACAGCTCCCGTGATGACCGTCACTTGTGAGGACTGGGATTCGGAAACACCTTGCATCAGTAAAGTAGTTCACTATTTTAGAACAAACTTATAAACATTCTTTGTGGAAGAAAGAAAGAAGAAAATGCCTATTTGGTACTCATGCCCCCTCAACGGCCCAGCACCCCTGCAGCTAAAGTTCAGAGTGCCCTTCAGCTTCTTGTGCTCTTGTCCCCGAACTTGACCTCACAGCCTCAAGCCCGCCTTGGAGTCTCTGTCTTAGATATCGGCTGAACTCATTTAATGACATGAAATAAACTTTTTTTTTAAGTTTATTTAATTTGAGAGAGAGTGGGCACACATGTATGAGAGGGGAGGGGCAGAGAGAGAATCCCAGGCAGGCTCAGCACTGATGTGGGGTCCAAACTCCTGAACCTGGAGATCATGACCTGAGCCAAAGTCGGACGCCTAGCCAACTGAGCCACCTAGGCGCCCCGAAGTAATCTCTTAAAATGTGTACGGGTCTGTGCCAGACACTGGCCTTTTGAGAGCCCCAGTGTCCTAGGAGGCAGCACAGACACAGGGATGAGCCAGGGCGGCGACACGGTGACACGGCAGTGGGGACCCCTGGGTGATCAGGGTGTGTAGAGGAGCAGGGCTTCAGCGTGGTGTCACAGCCCCCAAGTCCCACGGTGCTTCCGTGGCGTGTCGATGGCGCTCTGGTTGGCGGAGGTCACGTGCTGAAGCAGGAGGAAGGAACGCAGCTCTTCGTTCTTCAGCTTCTCCCGGGGTGCCGTGTACCACGTTCCCTCACACGTTTGTGACAAGGTAACCAAGTCAAGAGACATGGCCGTGACCTGCCCCAGAGAGGGAAAGGGGAGAACCAGATACCGCAGGGCACTGACGCCCACTCCTTCCCTGCATGTGATGTAAGCTCTGTAGGAAACTGAGAAGGTGTGGCCACCCAGACGTCAAATGTCACCTCTCCACTGGAGATGCTCACCAGAACTCTTTGATGTCTGTTGTGGGCAGTTTATAATCGTACGTGCAAATGGGATGGCGCCGCAGTAGCTGGGGGACGTGTTTTTACCGTTGTAACGTGATGTTTATGTTCTCACGTCATTTAATATATAATCACATCATGGTCAGGAAGAACACGTCACTGTGGTGTGTCATGGTTTTACATCAGCCCTAGTTGACCAGTTTTTGACAGAATGAATCAGACTTTCTGTAAACAGTAAATATTTTAGGCTTTGTGAACCTTAGATAGTCTGTACCACGTATCCTTTTTTCCTTCACAAAGTATGTGGCTTTTTTTTTTTTTAAACAATCTTTTAAAAATGTAGGAAGCATACTTAGAGCCGATGCAAAACAGGCCCCACCTGCCTCTGGTCCCTCTGGCTGTGGTTCACCGACCCCTGGCGTGAGCAGTACCGGCCTGCGTGTCCCAGACACGGTTTGTGTACATCCGCCCCTGTCCTTGGCAGGAGTCCTTGGAAGTGGAATGAAGACTGAGGAGTAGTGGGCACCAGGCTTGTAGCCCTTTGTCAGTATTGTTCATCCCCACCCCCATCCCCCACCAAGAGGCTGTGCCAGCGGCCTCCTCACTGTCACTGCTTGGAAATTCCCTTTTTCTCACAGAGATGGAATATTTTGAGTATTTTTATTTTTGCCATTTGGGGAAGAATTAAACGGTATTTGTCATTTGAGTTTTTAGGATGCTAAATGTTTTTCCTATTTGTCAGCTTTTTATGTTCTTTATGAACTGTGATTATGTTATTAGCCCTTTTTTCCATTGGGATATTTGTTTTTCTTACACGAGTTCTTAGCTAGAATTTATATGAAACTTTTACCCTAGTTTTCTTAGTTGTACTGTAATGATTTTTCTATTTTTCCTTTGTCTTTTGTGGTTCTGTGAGTTTGAGGTTTTTGTGCATTGCCACTGTACTCAAATCTACTTTTCTTTTGCAAGTTTTTCTTGTTATGAAATGCTTAAAACAGGCCTTCAGACTCACCAAGGTAATGCATCAGCATTTTCTTCCAGTACTCAAGAAAAATGTTTTTAACATTTTTTGAGAGAGAGAGAGAGAGTACGAGTTGGGGAGGGGCAGAGGGAGAGGGAGACACAGAATCTGAAGCAGCTCCAGGCTCTGAGCTGTCAGCACAGAGCCTGACATGGGGCTCGAACTTACAACTGAGCCCCCAGGCGCCCCTCTTCCAGTACTCTTCTCCAGTTCTGTGTCATTTGTTAATGCATCTGGAATACAAGCCTTCGGTGGGGATCTGACTGTGGTTGGCCAGATGGATTCTGACTGAAGAATATCTTTTTCCCCGTTGGTTTGCAGTGTGGTGGCTGTCACACATCAAACTCAGCCTGTGACAGGGCGGGTGGCAATGCCGAGTAGCAGGCAGAGCTGGCTATTTCTTGTCTGTCTTTCCTTAGGGGTGGGGTCGAGTCAGCGATTTCTGTTTGGAAAGTGTGTGTCAGAATCCAGGTTCATAGTTCTAATCTGCTTTCTGTTCTGGGGACCGAAGCTCAGAGGACGACCATTGACGGGGACGGGAGGTGCCTGTCTAACTGAAGGGTGGAAAGGGACAAGGAGGAGGGGGCAGGTGCAGATACTTGGAGACCTGGTGAACACTAGGCGGGGTGACAAGTGTCGGGGACTCTCTAGACGGGAGGGAGCGCCAGCCTTGGGGTCTCCTCAGATGCCGAGTTGGGGATTCAGTGTGTGCACTACTGAGATACAGCGCGGAGTGCGGCCCGCCCCCAGCTGCAGGCCACAGCTGACTTTCTGTCAAAGGCCTTCCAGTTTGCCTGCAGGAAAGCAAATTAGAGCCTATTAAATTGGTTGAAAGTCACTCTGAACCTGAATCCTGTAATCGTTGGACTGCTGCATTTGCATGCCTGAATTAAGCACGTGGGGAGTTTTTGGTGTGGGGGTATTTTCATGTCAGTAGAAGAATTTAGGTGGGTGCTGGAAAGTGTTTTGTACAGCAAAGGCCTAGAGAGAGTGTAGGAGAGCATCTGGGTGGGGAAATATTTGGTAGGTTAGTAGCAGATAAAAATCTGATTGCGGAGGCTTCATAGAAGAATAGCATCGTAGCTGTAAATTCATACCAGATGATAGACTGGGAAGACACCGCCCCTGTGACAAAGGGCTGACACTTGAATATCTGTGAGATGACGTGTCCTCGCAAGGCGACCCTTGTGTGCCTGACCAGCAGTTCCTCTAAGCGGGCTCCGTCCGGGGAGACCTTTCCCACGCATGTGAGTGGACACCCTAGCTGGTTGAGGCCAGCCTGGGGGATGGGTGGGAGGCAGCCTGAGTGTCCATTGATGGGAACTGGCCAGTGAAAGGCCGTGGCGGGCGTGGAAGCCCAAAGCCATCTTACATGGTGACAGAAATGCATGTGAAAAAGTAGAGAGTGCCCGCCCCCGGGCCTCCAAAGACCATGAATGTGCAGGAATGCACCTCACCTAGAAGAGAGGCTCAGGATGTATGTCAGACGGTAATGGAGAATATTTCTGGGTGGGATTGTCATACATAACAGAAGGAAAGACAGCGAGAGATCTTGCCCATTGTTTTTATTGCCTTTTTTTCTTAAACAAGTAGATTGCTCTTATTAGAGTCAGTCACTTTAAAAGAAGAGCTTTACGTACACATGCCTCCTCATAAGCGATGTCTTTGTGCCTCATTCCCACATACTCATTTTCGTTCTCGCTCCCTCCTGGAAGCATAAAGCAGACTAAGACTTGGGTGTGGGCCAGTGTCCATGCAGTGGCATCTTCAGAAGCCCCTGCACAGGGGCCCAGCTGCCCCCGGAAGGAGCAGCGACTAGCAGCCGCAGCTCGGCACACAGGAAGCTGCGGGCCCTCGGTTTGAATGGGCCTGGGGCACAGCGCGGGCGCCTCCACAGCCCCGCAGGGTGGGTCACGGGGCACCGCGGCCCTGGGACTTGTAGGAGGCTTTGTCCGGGAGACCAGCACGCCTGGAGGCAGCGTGAAGACGCTCCCCTGCAGGTGACATGGGCGGTGCCCAGAATTGAACACTGGCCGGCCACGTCAGCAGTGGAACGGGCTGGCTGCGGTTTGTGGCTGCAGGCATGATTTGGAGAACCTGTGTCCTCTTTCTCTCTGTTGCAGCCTCCCAAAGTGAAATGCCTGACCAGGATCTGGCACCCCAACATCACAGAGACAGGCGACATATGTCTAAGGTGGGTTTCTCTTCTTTCCCGTCCTCTGTGTGTGTCCTCTGTGTGTGTGAGCACTCTGTGTGAGCACGGGGCTTTTCCAACACGCTATCTCTGTCTCTGCTGAGAGAAGATTTTGAGGCTGGGCTGAGAGGAGGGACGTCTGGGAAACGGCCCTCAGGGCTTTGGGTGGGGGCTAGAGGGTCTCCCACACCCAGCCTGCCTCCGCCTCCCGCCCCACTCTGGTGACTGAGTGGGCCCTCTGGTGACTGAGACCACTGCTGCTCCTGGTGCAGCCTGTCATCTGGCCGGGTGCTCCCTCTGGGCTCTTTGCCCTTTTCCCTTCTGAGGTAGCGAGAGGCTGCAGTCCCTCCACGTGGCAGATTGCAGCTAAGAAGGAAACCATGGCTAATAAAGTTGGGTGCGGGGAGGTGGGGAATGTAGATGTCAAAAGATGCCCTCTCTACTAAAATAGTCTGGATGTGCATGCGCAGGATGACTTTGCCAGAGCTTCATGTTGCTTGTGACCTGCGTACCCCTCCCTTCCAGTGGGGTCCGATCTGGGGCCCACAATCCCCTGCTTCTTAAGGCTCATGTAGAGCACTGGAGGAGGTGTGTGATTTGTTCTTAAGTAAATTTAGCACTTGGGTGGCGGCGTCTTTGTGTGTCTTGTCACTTCCTCCAGCTAGGCAGTGATGTAGGGGCTCCGGTGCCCACCTGCCTCACGACAGCACGGTGTGACTTGGGCAGGTTCTGTGCCCACCAGTCGCAGCCTGCAGAGGAGGCATTAGCACTTCCTCTTCTTTCCTCCTGTGACTAAGTCAGGCCGCCCTTCTCTGGGAGCATCGGGCGCTGCCTGTGAGGGGAGCCACATGCTGTCTGCTCACAGGCCAGAGCTGGGCCCCTCTCCCCAGCAGTCAGCACCAGCTCCCGGTCAGCTCGTTATAGTTAAAAATGCGTTTTACAAGAGGCTACCTTTTTCAGATCTGTCCTTTGAGGATCAGCACTTCTAAAATCTGACTTCTTCAGGCTCAGGTATAAATGGCACCCGCTCCAGCCTTGTCCCCCGAGGCCTTCACAGATGCTCGCACACTGCACTTCCCTGTCTCTTCCCTTCCTCAGTAGCCATTAAGGCCAGAGTGGGAAT